GAGAGAACAAGTGATTTGAAAAGGATCATCATGGGCTTGGCATCTCTCGTTTTGAAAGTTCTCATTATCCATCCTATCATTTTCTTTGCACGTGCGATCGTGGCACTGTTGTGATCCTTGAAAGTGAGATCCTCAGACATTACTACTCCCAGGTCCCTTACATTATTTTTCCGCTCTATTGTATGGCCAGAGTCTGTAGTATACTCTGTTCTAGTTATTATCTGCAATGTACACATTTGTAAATAAAGCGTGTAGCGTTCTCCCTCTGCAGCCGTAACTGGAAGACTGCAAAATGCTCTCGGTGCAGTGTACACATTTGTAAATAGAGCGTTTAGAGTTCTCCCTCTGCAACCGTAATTGGAAGAGTGCAAAATACTCTCGGTGCAATGTACACCTTTGTAAACAAAGCATGTAGAGTTAAACGGTATGACTGAAACATTGTTCCAGATTTACTGATCAAATGCTTTTTTAAAAGCTGTAATTCCTTTAGTAGAATCGTTGACACATCTAGAGTATACATACTTACTGTACACATTTCCATTTTTTTATTCGTATCAACACTCAAAGAGAACATTTCCGCACAACACTGAAATATAAATCCAAGTACGTAGTGGCTTTCTTTTGTGCTTAAAAATAATGTAAACTGCATTTTTATACTGTACAAATTAAATAAAATGTTTGTTTATACTGTCCCGTAGCTCGGTTGGTAGTGCACTCAGCTTACACATTAAGGACCGTGGTTCGATCCCAGGTAAGGGCGAAAACATTAGAGTGTTTCCTTAAGGCACCTGCTGTCCCTCTTCATCTAGCAGTAAGTAGGTATCTGGGTGTTAGCCGACTGGTGTGGGTGGCATCCTGGGGACAAAACCTAATTTACTCGAAATGCTCTTTCTATATAGTATGTCACTGATGTTAGCTATGGTCTGTATACGGTGTATCGTGTACTTGTAGAAGTAAAAATTATTATTATTATTATTATTATTATTATTATTGTTGTTGTTGTTGTTGTTGTTGTTGTTGTTGTTGTTGTTGTTGTTGTTGTTGTTGTTGTTGTTGTTGTTGTTGTTGTTGTTGTTGTTGTTGTTGTTTCGAAAAAGACAATTCAGAAGAACAAAATTTGGCTTGAATTGATTTTTCGAACTAGTTCCTACCATTTTCATCGATAACTGTTTCCTCTGCAAACATCTTAATTTTTTTTCTCCTCATTTACGTTGCCATATCAAGATTCAGCAACAGATCCTAGTTATCTCTTAGATAAACAAAATCATCCAAGTTTTTTTTGTCCTCCGTCTATTATTGAACTTCCATCTTTAAGCCTTATGTTTCTGTTATCAATGACTTTTGAGGATATTCAACGAATCTGAAGCCTTGAGGAAACACTCGACTTGTTTTATATAGATCAGAATTCCTTTCAAAGATGAGCAACAAATTGTCTAACACACACAACTCTGGCTGAGCGACGTGTGTCTGACATATTTTGTCAGGCATGACATAATAACTCGGCTGTAAACAAATCACAGAATGGGTGGGACTCGAACGCATGGCAGGCAAGTCTTTTAAACCTCGACTGTCATGAGTTGGAGCTCCAGGAGGCAGGGACCCCAGAGAAACACCTCTGACTTTATTCACCCCTGACTTCTCCCTAGGGTTATTTGTGGTCAGTTAAGTAGAAATTCCACTTTGTTCAGTTGTACAGGATGGACAAAATTATTCTCCGTAAAATTTATGCCGCACCCTGTGTTCCACTGGGTGTGTATATACTGTATACTTGTGGGAATTTGTGAGATGTTCACTCTAGCAATCATTGTTGACACAGATAACGCATGACTCATCGAGTCCCGTTCTCACAAGCACCCCTAGGGTATACTTCTTTTCAGAGTTACCTATTTTGTCAGAAATTCCTGTCTCCATCCACAAACTAGAACAAACTTACTTGTACTGTGGAGTTTATACTAGCTAGAAACCCCTTGTTTCCTTCCCTGGCTAATCTAAGTTCCTGTTGACTTCTCTCTCTCTCTCTCTCTCTCTCTCTCTCTCTCTCTCTCTCTCTCTCTCTCTCTCTCTCTCTCTCTCTCTCTCTCTCTCTCTCTCTCTCTCTCTCTTCAGGATGCCATGTGCTTAGAAGAAACGATGCAGGTAGTTAAATTAAGATAGTATCTCCAGCCTAAACCTTGAGGGATCTTGAATTTATTAGGGCTTCCCTAACATATATTAATGTACACAAAGGGATATTAGCTTTTGGTCAAATTTTCAATTGGTAATTACTTTGTAATCTTAGCTGCTAATTTACCTTAGTGTGGACCTCGGCTCACCCCTAACCGCAAGCTATTCCCATGTTTTCCCCAGTAATTTGGTGGCCACCTACAGAGGGTAAAATGAGAAATGAGTTTCACAAACAGGTCTGGCGCAGAGACTTGTATCCATGGTCCGTCGGGAAGGCCTCTGCCTTTCTTTGTTGGCTGCCAGACAGAATATTTTGTAAGCCATGTGGGATACTGAGCTTAGAGCTCCTAATGAATTATTGTCGCCACGTAAGCTGATGCCAGAAGAGAGCAGCAGCGTTCTGTATGCTCCATGCTCTACTCTGAATGGGATACTAGTTACTGCTATATGTCTGATCTTTCTAATGTTATTGTTGGGTGGAAGGATGTATTAAGGGTCCCTGCGAATGAGGCATCAAATTATTTGCATCGAATCCGGCCGTGGAAATTTTTTGGTAAAATAAATTTTCTGGTCAGAGACCGAGCCGCGGGGGCCTTGACCCCCGGAACCCTCTCCAGATATACCCCAGGTAATACTACTCTCGGTGCATACACACAGATACGGTATCCCATGGCCTAGTAGGCAACGCTCTCACCTCACACTGAGTGTCATCGGCTCAATCCCCAGCCGGGTGGAAACCCTGGGCGTGTTTTTTTAACACTTGCTGTCTTCGTTTATCTAGCAAGTATGTAGGTACCTATGTGTTAACCGATTGGTGTGGGTCGCATCCTGGAGGACAAGATTGCAGGACTCCAATGGAAATAAGACAAACAGTCCTCGATGACGCACTGACTTTCTTGGGATATCCTGGTCAGCTAACTCTCCGGGTTATAAATCCGAACAAAATCTCATCTTAGAGTGCTGAGTGAGATATATTGATTATTCTTGTTTTGAACATCATCACTTGCCACCAAAGTATGTCTATAATGTTTATATTTAAAAGTTGTCTATATATCAAATAATCAGTTCAAATAAAATATTTTTTGCTTAAAACGTTTGAGTTAACCATTAAAAATTTATTCGTTTTCTTCATCTACAAATTTGATATACGTTTTTTATAAAGGTTTAGTTTTTAGCAGTGACTAAACAAGTTAATATTGACACTTCGACATTCAATTACAGACATATATATCGTATATAAAATAAAGTATTATTATAAGAGCTGCAGATGTTTCGAGCATTTCTAGTAACCCAAACTAATTAAATAATTGTTAAGTACTTATAAGCTGTATGAAATACCCTGGACAACCAGCGGCTTCCGATGAATTAATAATAATCTTTATATCTACGGGTATATGACACGTGGTATACAGGCCTAGATGACATCAGTGACATACTATATAGAAAGCCCCTGGTTATGCAGAGCATTTCTGGCAACTTAGGTTAATCTTGTCCCCCCAGGATGCCACAAGGATCCCAATGGAAATAAGTCACTTTCTCTGACTTTTCGTAGGTAATCTACACATGCTGCTACGTATGGTAATTTATGTGTCCCTGTACCTGAATAAACTTACTTATCCACACCAGTCGGCTGACACCCGGGTACCTACTTACTGCTCAGTGATCATGGACAGCAGGTGTAACGAAATATACCCAGTATTTCCACCCGTACTGGGATTGAACCACGGACACTCAATTTGTGAGCTGAATGCGCTACCAACCGAGCTACGGGACACCCAGTGTTATTTAGTCCTATATCAATTGTATACTATACTCTTTTGAAATTATGATTGTCATTTTGGTACTATGTTCATTAGACGAACGTGCCCACGAAGTCTCAGTAGCACCTTTGTCGCTGGCTTCTTCGTGTATCCCTACTACCTGTCCCCTCAATGAGGTACCTTGACTCTGGTGAAGGATTCGTTTACCAAGGAACAATTGGTACTTACCTCCCCTTCCTAGGATCAAACGTGATTAGTGTTTAGCACTTCCCAGTGAATATAATAACCAAAATAATCTTTACTTTTAACATTGCAAATTAAGTGAAGTGTATCAGTCACTCATTATTCCATTATCTGCCTCTGACGATTACCCTGATATTCACACTTGCGTGATACACGACTGTGCCTGCCTAGACTCGTGACTGCATACCCTTTTTTGTTCACTCGAGCCATTCGACCTATAAGCCTACATGTTGATATATAATAAAATTTAGTGCATGTATACTATTGCATTTGTAGTTAGGCATTTTCCCACCTGTTTTCAGTGCCACATTTGCTGTACTTTGCTGTTTCTTTTTTTATATCTCATCTACTGCTCGAAATACTATATTGGCACCACGCAAAATATAAGGGCTGTCCTTGTCATAGGGCTGTAAACGGTACTACTCCTGACACAGAGAAGGTTCACCGCGCCTTTGTCAAAGCGCTGCCCCCACCATGGGGCTATAAACGGTACTCACTTGACATGAATGTTCACCATACCCCCGCCATAGGCTGTAAACGGTACATCAGTTGAACAAACTCCGAACTACTTCGGGAGCCACTGCTAGATCGCTACATGGAGAAGACAAGGATGACTGGCCCTGTATCCTAGAATGTAGTATAATATAATAGTTGACATGAGACATGCTTGAAGAGTTTAAGCACCTAAATTGGTAGCATTTTACAAAAATATGTGGGATATTGGTAGTTGGTTAATTTACCTTAAAGCCTGTAACACACTAGGTTCATTAAGGCTGCATGTCACCTATTTACCAGCTGAAAAAAGCTTTAAATTAATGAACATTGATAAAAAGGTAAAATACTATAAGCTTTATTTAGGTTCATTACATTCGATTTTGCAGGCTATTATACATTTAAGATTATAAGTAGTTAACACAATCTGTGAGATTTGTGAAACTCTAGTAGACTCTCCTGGGCTCTTACTAAGTTCTTAAGTGAACCTGACTTATTGTACCAACTCTGATGACCTTTTTACCTAAGTTTTCAACCTGCACACTTATTCATCGTAGCGCCAGCAACCACCTGTCTGAATGACTCTTATGGGACTTGAAGTTGTTCGTATACATTATAGAACAAATGCTATCAAAACATTTATTAGGTAGGTAGCTACAGCTAACAACATTCACCTACAAATACAAATAAGCTATTTATTTTCTGTAGAAAATAGTTAACATGTAATAAAATAATATTAGGGACAAAAGAAAGCCACTAGCATGCAGTGTTTTCTCCACTACTAGTTCCCTCACAATTACAGATTTCTAAAATATAGTTTTGAAGTATGAAAAGTGGTGGATTAATTTGTCAGGAGATTGGACAAGTGTTACTTGACATCTATGTTAGTCAAATGATGAGCCGTAACTGGTTAAGCATCCACTGACTTACCCAGCCAGGATTCTAGAAGGGGGTCGAAATATGCAGATTAATTAATCTCCCGAGTTTCTGTCCCCACGTGGGTTATTAGTGAGCACAACAACATGTGCTTAAAAACAAATACATCAAGTTGATATGTAATCAGGGCAACCCTCAAGAAACTGGATAATCCGAACAGTTTTGATTATACTGACAGAATGTAGATAGATACACATGCACACTTCAGGAATTTTTATTATTTTTTTCCACAAATGGCTTCTGAAGAAATCTTAACTGTGCATGAATGGCTTTATCCACACTTAAGAAGTGAATGATAAAACTGTCTGAAGGGTCAGAGGGAGTGCAAGATAAGCGGCTTTAATACACTTTGGTAAGTTTTGTGATAGTTTCCTTTGAATGACACTTTTAGGTTGAGCACTTTCCCATACATACCATTTTCCTATTATGTTGCCTTTTATGCTGTTCTAGTGTTAGCTGATTGGTAGCCACTTAAGAAAAGCTGTCTACCCTGGTGCACCACATCTGAAAACAAGACTGGGCAAACATAATGTACATGAAAATGTACACCGAGAGGTGTATGTCTGTGTATATATGTTGAGCTTACTTTAGTCCCTAATTTAGGGTTTAAGCATTCTTGACTAGTGGTGAACGGGTCGAAAGACTTTAAACCCTGTTAACTAACGAACATAAACCGTCCCATGTTCTGGTGGCGCTGTGGTCGGTGCTCAGAATTTATTTGTTGTAAGCTTGTAGGAATTTGAGTGTATGTAGTGCTTTCTTTGGAGCTTATTGTTGTTCTTGATTTCCTCTTTAGTCATGGTGATCATATCCTTCTAGGGAAGTTAGCCACTTGATTGTTGTCTTCCTTTCAGTGATAAACCGTTTGTGTTTTTGTTGGCAGTGTTTTTTTTCAGTGCAGTCCGGGCGGAAGTCTTGAGATGGTTAAATCTGATACGGTTACTTAACACTAAGCAGTACATTATACAATGGTAGTATGTACCAATAATATGTTAATATGGGTTATGGTGTTTTATTAGAAAGATTTTCGTTCGCCAGAGGCTTGGTCAAGTCCTTGCCAGACAAAACTTCTCATTAATGAAATACCATAACCCGCACATTGTTGCATTATCATAACCAGTTTATGTCTTTACATGACGTCACATTTTGGTTTCGTGTGGCATTGACTTTATAGCTTGGGCTTGTGTGAGCTTAGGATCTCCTGGACGAGGGAGACGGCTTGCATGGAGGTACCCGGAGCTGACATTACTCCGTAACTACCATGGCCATAGTTGTGCACCACCTGAAAAGAAAAAAAAAATACAGCTGAAACGAGAAACCATATCTCTCTTGGTATCCATCTATATGATGCATACAATTGCATTAGACATCGAGACTGTTCATGGGCAGTGGAAACTGGATAAATTGCTAAGACTGCTCCGCTATTTGGGAGTTTCAGTTTCCTTTCAGTTATACATTAATTGCAAGTGTTAAAGAACACTTGGAAGAACACTTGAAACATCTGATTGAAGGTGAGGCAACAATCGTTGATGGAAAGAACGAGGATTGTCTCTTTAGACTTGTACATTAAAGAAAGATCAATCGTGACAGAGATAAGGGCAGCTTAAGATGCACTGGCTCCTTATTCTTCTCTCATGTTTGCAAATAATAATCTTTTTTTTAATTGCCTAAATGTGCCTTGATAAATGTTAACTTGAAGTCCATAATGTTGTTTTATTATTAGTTAAAATAAGTTTCGCGACATAAAATCCAGAAGAAAGAGGCCCAATCAGGCTTATATATATTTTATTGCAACTGACTTGACTTTATTAGCATACATTCGTAAATTTTGTGGTTTTGTGTTAATATACATTCAGTGTTTTAGGCTACAAATCATATCTATGACATAAAATATTGAGGCGGTAGACAAGATACTTATATAAGTGACTTTATTAACATTCCAAACCGTTTATAACCAGTAGTGAGGAAATAATATATATATATATATATATATATATATATATATATATATATATATATATATATATATATATATATATATATATATATATATATGCAAAACAACCACTCTGAAAGAATAGAGAAATTCCAAGCGCTTTCGTGACTACTCACATTATCAAGGAACTATGAAAGTGAAGCATCCAAGGAAGCTATATAAGGGGTCCGGCCAGCACTTTCATACTTCCTTGATAATGTGAGTAGTCACGAAAGCGCTGGGAATTTCTCTATTCTTTCAGAGTGGTTGTTTTGCATATTTTGAAATCACCTGTTTACTGTGATCTTATTGCATATATATATATATATATATATATATATATATATATAATATATATATATATATATATATATATATATATATATATATAATATATATATATATATATATAATATATATATATATATATTTATCACACTGGCCGATTCCCACCAAGGCAGGGTGGCCCGAAAAAGAAAAACTTTCACCATCATTCACTCCATCACTGTCTTGCCAGAAGGGTGCTTTACACTACAGTTTTTAAACTGCAACATTAACACCCCTCCTTCAGAGTGCAGGCACTGTACTTCCCATCTCCAGGACTCAAGTCCGGCCTGCCGGTTTCCCTGAACCCCTTCATAAATGTTACTTTGCTCACACTCCAACAGCACGTCAAGTATTAAAAACCATTTGTCTCCATTCACTCCTATCAAACACGCTCATGCATACCTGCTGGAAGTCCAAGCCCCTCGCACACAAAACCTCCTTAACCCCCTCCCTCCAACCTTTCCTAGGCCGACCCCTACCCCGCCTTCCTTCCACTACAGACTGATACACTCTTGAAGTCATTCTGTTTCGCTCCATTCTCTCCACATGTCCGAACCACCTCAACAACCCTTCCTCAGCCCTCTGGACAACAGTTTTGGTAATCCCGCATCTCCTCCTAACTTCCAAACTACGAATTCTCTGCATTATATTCACACCACACATTGCCCTCAGACATGACATCTCCACTGCCTCCAGCCTTCTCCTCGCTGCAACATTCATCACCCATGCTTCACACCCATATAAGAGCGTTGGTAAAACTATACTCTCATACATTCCCCTCTTTGCCTCCAAGGACAAAGTTCTTTGTCTCCACAGACTCCTAAGTGCACCACTCACTCTTTTTCCCTCATCAATTCTATGATTCACCTCATCTTTCATACAATATATATATATATATTATATATAATATATATTATATATATATATATATATATTATATATATATATATAATATATATATATATATATATATTGTATTTCACTTTTACTGACCTGCAGTGTTCTTCCGCTGGGGAAAGTCATAAGCTCCCTCTCCACTCTGACCACGGGGCGGTACGGTCGCAGTCCAACCCATTCTCGTATCACCTGCCCATAAAACACAATGTAACACGTATAATTATTCAATCTATCTATATATGCTGCCATATATCTTGCATCTGACCCCACCCATATTGGGATGGAAAACATTATCCGCTAGGCCTTGAAGCTGTGATAGTAAAATATAGGAACCTAAGAATGGAGGAGCACTGCAGTACCTAGAGTTTACCTGGAGAGAGTTCCGGGGGTCAACGCCCCTGCGGCCCGGTCTGTGACCAGGCCTCCTGGTGGATCAGAGCCTGATCAACCAGGCTGTTACTGCTGGCTGCACGCAAACCAACGTACGAGCCACAACCCGGCTGGTCAGGAACCGACTTTACGTGCTTGTCCAGTGCCAGCTTGAAGACTGCCAGGGGTCTGTTGGTAATCCCCCTTATGTATGCTGGGAGGCAGTTGAACAGTCTCGGGCCCCTGACACTTATTGTATGGTCTCTTAACGTGCTAGTGACACACCTGCTTTTCATTGGGGGGATGTTGCATCGTCTGACAAGTCTTTTGCTTTCGTAGTGAGTGATTTTCGTGTGCAAGTTCGGTACTAGTCCCTCTAGGATTTTCCAGGTGTATATAATCATGTATCTCTCCCTCCTGCGTTCCAGGGAATACAGGTTTAGGAACCTCAAGCTCTCCCAGTAATTGAGGTGTTTTATCTCCGTTATGCGCGCTGTGAAGGTTCTCTGTACATTTTCTAGGTCAGCAATTTCACCTTCCTTGAAAGGTGCTGTTAGTGTGCAGCAATATTCCAGCCTAGATAGAACAAGTGACCTGAAGAGTGTCATCATGGGCTTGGCCTCCCTAGTTTTGAAGGTTCTCATTATCCATCCTGTCTTTTTTTCTAGCAGATGCGATTGATACAATGTTATGGTCCTTGAAAGTGAGATCCTCCGACATGATCACTCCCAGGTCTTTGACGTTGGTGTTTCGCTCTATTTTGTGGCCAGAATTTGTTTTGTACTCTGATGAAGATTTAATTTCCTCATGTTTACCATATCTGAGTAATTGAAATTTCTCATCGTTGAACTTCATATTGTTTTTCTGCAGCCCACTGAAAGTTTTGGGGTTGATGTCCGCCTGGAGCCTTGCAGTGTCTGCAATGGAAGACACTGTCATGCAGATTCGGGTGTCATCTGCAAAGGAAGACACGGTGCTGTGGCTGACATCCTTGTCTATGTCAGATATGAGGATGAGGAACAAGATGGGAGCGAGTACTGTGCCTTGTGGAACAGAGCTTTCACCGTAGCTGCCTCGGACTTTACTCTGTTGACGACTACTCTCTGTGTTCTGTTAGTGAGGAAATTATAGATCCTTCGACCGACTTTTCCTGTTATTCCTTTAGCACGCATTTTGTGCACTATACGCCATGGTCACACTTGTCGAAGGCTTTTGCAAAGTCTGTATATATTACATCTGCATTCTTTTTGTCTTCTAGTGCATCTAGGACCTTTTCGTAGTGATCCAATAGTTGAGACAGACAGGAGCGACCTGTTCTAAACCCATGTTGCCCTGGGTTGTGTAACTGATGGGTTTTCTAGATGGGTGGTGATCTTGCTTCTTAGGACCCTTTCAAAGATTTTTATGATATGGGATGTTAGTGCTATCGGTCTGTAGTTCTTTGCTGTTGCTTTACTGCCCCCTTTGTGGAGTGGGGCTGTCTGTTGTTTTTAGTAACTGTGGGACGACCCCCGTGTCCATGCTCCCTCTCCAAAGGATGGAAAAGGCTCGTGATAGGGGCTTCTTGCAGTTCTTGATGAACACGGAGTTCCATGAGTCTGGCCCTGGGGCAGAGTGCATGGGCATGTCATTTATCGCCTGTTCGAAGTCATTTGGCGTCAGGATAACATCAGATAGGCTTGTGTTAACCAAATTCTGTGGCTCTCTCACAAAAATTCATTTTGATCTTCGACTCTCAGTCTGGTTAGCGGCTTGCTAAAAACTGAGTCATATTGGGACTTGAGTAGCTCACTCATTTCCTTGCTGTCATCTGTGTAGGACCCATCTTGTTTAAGTAGGGGCCCAATACTGGACGTTGTTCTCGACATTGATTTGGCATAGGAGAAGAAATACTTTGGGTTTCTTTTGATTTCATTTATGGCTTTTAGTTCTTCCCGCGATTCCTGACTCCTATAAGATTCCTTTAGCTTAAGTTCGATGCTTGCTATTTCTCTGACCAGTGTCTCCCTACGCATTTCAGATATATTGACCTCTTTTAGCCGCTCTGTTATTCTTTTCCGTCGCCTGTAAAAGGAGCGCCTGTCTCTTTCTATTTTACATCTACTCCTCCTTTTTCTTAGAGGAATAAGCCTTGTGCATGTATCGAGTGCCACCAAGTTAATCTGTTCTAGGCATAAGTTGGGGTCTGTGTTGCTTAGTATATTTTCCCAGCTTATATCGGTTAGGACTTGGTTTACTTGGTCCCACTTTATGTTTTTGTTATTGAAGTTGAATTTGGTGAATGCTCCCTCGTGACTAATCTCATTATGTCGGTCGGGCTCCGCGCATACATGTCTGAACCTCAATTATGTTGTGATCTGAGTATATTGTTTTTGATATGGTGACATTTCTTATCAGATCATCATTGTTAGTGAAGATGAGGTCTAGTGTATTCTCCAGTCTAGTAGGCTCTATTATTTGCTGGTTTAAATTGAATTTTGTGCAGAGATTTAAAAGCTCGTGTGAGTGTGAGTTTTCATCAGAGCTGCCTCCTGGTGTTATTACTGCAACAGTATTATTTGCTATATTCCTCCATTTTAGGTGCCTCAAGTTGAAATCCCCCAGGAGCAAGATGTTGGGTGCAGGAGCTGGAAGATTTTCCAGACAGTGGTCAATTTTTAACAGCTGTTCCTGGAATTGCTGCTAAAACTTCCACTACATCATTTGAGGCATTAAGCAGTTCTGTGCAAACAAGTGACTCTGCAATGTACAGGCCAACCCCCCCCCTTTTGCCTGTTCACTCTGTCACATCTGTATAGGTTGTAACCTGGGATCCATATTTCGTTGTCCAAGTGATCCTTTATGTGGGTCTCAGTGAAAGCCGCGAACATTGCCTTTGCCTCTGCAAGCAGTCCACGGATGAAAGGTATTTTGTTGTTTGTTGCTGGCTTTAGACCCTGTATATTTGCAAAGAAGAATGTCATCGGACTGGTGGTATTGTTGGTACTGGGGGGGGATTTTTTTCCGGCATTAGTATCTGTATCTGTTGGTTTGGAGTGGAGGCCATCGACTGTGGTTCCACTCCAGGAATGACTGGATTTGGTGTACGATTTCTGCCATTTCCTGTCAGTTTTTTTTCCTTCCTGGCACTAAAAAGCCTCTCCCTCTTGAGTGGCTATGGCTACCCAGGTTTTCCCATGGCCTGGATGTTTTGTATCTTTTTGTCCCCTTTAGATGGTGTGCCTGGCAATTTAAGTTATAGCACAGTCTTTCCTGCACTGAAGAGGTACACATTTCAGGGTGAAAAAGCTTACAGGAAGGGAGTTTGCATTTTCCTGTTGTCATATGGGCACGGCATTTTCTAGGGTGGTCATAGTTGCACGTCCCATCTGTTTTTTTCAGATTTCCCATGTCTGCAGATACCAAGTGCATAGTACGTGCACAGGCTTGGTTTCCGTTTGCCTTGGGTTTCTGTGACTGTATTCCCTGTTGGTGCATGTTTCCCTGTCTTATTCCTATCCTCCCTAGCACCAACAATGGAGCTCCCACCAGTTGTTTTTTGGTAATATATCCTCACTATTGCTAGTGGAGTCCTCTTGTTTGCTATTTCCCGTGGTATTTCTAGTTTGCAATATTGGTTTTATCTTATCTTTGACTACACTTGTTTCCGCACTACGGCTCCTGTCCCCTATGAAGTCATTTATATGTATTCCTTCCTGCGTATAATTCCCGACTACCTGGACAAAATCTCCAGCTTCACCATTACTGTCTCCCAGGACAGCACCTCCAGCTTCACCATTACTGTCTCCCAGGACAGCACTATCAGCCCCACATTTACTGACTACCAGGACATCACCTCCAGCCTTACAGTTTCTGACTACATGGCCAGTATCAAAGGCAGTACCATTCAGCCCAGACTTTTTATGTTCCCATCTGTTGTAGAAAGCTTCCAGGTTGTCTATGAAAGCAGCTTTGATGTTATCCTCTTTTAATACCCTTGTGGTTTTAGTCCACAGATTTATCTCATTTGGGCATACCCAAAAACACTTCCCTGTTTTAATACTGCTTGTAGCTAGTTCTTGGATATCTGCACAAGGGGCGTGACACCAATTTCCACAAAAATGACAATTTATCCATGTGGAAGCCCGTTTGTTTGATTGACTGCAGACTACACAGAGCTTCATAATGATTTGAATGGTTGATTTACTGTAATTCTACTAGCAACCTCTTGAATACTCTATTAATAACCTCCTTAAATGAAGCTCTAGCTATTTGTATTTCTATTTCTACTGTACTTGTATATTGGACAGCTTACCGTGTACATTCCTGATTTATATTTATTGTTTGTGTTTGATAAGGGCGCCTACAACCCCATCCGTTTACAGTCTGCTTTATTGTCCAATGAATCCGTTTGAAACCAGTCAAGGGTTCGGACCAGTCAAGGGTTCGGACCAGTCGAGGGTTCGGACCAGTCGAGGGTTCGGAACCAGTCGGATCTGATCAGGGTCACTTATTTAAAACATACTGGTCGGTGATTTGGGCTAACACATGAAGGATCTACTTAAAATTATCTACCTGAGTAATATGTGATTTGATTGATACAAAAATATAACTTGCGTGTTGAAGAACCGGTGATTGCTGGCAGCTCCTACAATGACGGTCGAGCCTCAACCCTTGTTTATCAATCGCTGTATCTAGCTTTTCTAGGGTTTTTTCGTCTCCACCACAATAAATGCTGTATTATCACTATAGTTGACTGGTGGAAATTTTGGAGGAAGGACGCTTTTTCCGTAGTAATAATTGCTTCTCGTTGTGTATATTGCGACCGCTGGTAACTACAGGTTATATGAAATTCACAGTATACGTCTGGTATTTCAAGAAAAAAGAAACTAATGAAAGTCACTCCACTCCACTAAGTACCATTATAATACTGGTTAGTTGCTACTACAACACTGTATTCTGCTATTCACTGGTATCACTAGATTATATGCGAGTACACTAGCAGGCCAGGAAGATTATTAAAACAGCTGACCTCTGTGGTAAGTTTCTGGCGACTTCTGGCACCTGCCTCTATAGGCTTATCACTTCATTTACAAATTCACCTGTTTTCAAATGACACTTTAGCCTTTATCATCTGTATACTAGGGAGCCACTGTAGTATACACTATACACTATGTATACACAATGTTATCAGGGAGACTTTCTTTCCTCTGACAAAGAAAAGTTCTATTATTATTATTTTGCACACGGAACACAGGCCTATGATTTCCCTCTGGCAGTAAACTCTGCTAGGTAGTCAAGGTAGTAGGTCAAGGTGTTAACGTAAAGGACGATGTGATAGTCTTTCACTCATCTACAACTGTATTGCTAAACCAGTATTTTTGTTCTATCCTTTATAAATCTGGATTTATTCTCTTGAAAATATATTTTCTATAACATTAAAATTAACTTAGGCATTACTTGACTAAACTTTAGATATTATCAAAAATAATAAATGGTATTTAGTTTGCCGGGAGAAGCTGAAAAGCTTCTCGAGGCTTGGGTGTTGGAAATAATTATATCCCAAGTAAGAATAACGAGGCGAGTCCACGAACACAAAGAGCTTTTGGTCATCTGACTGATGCTTGATGCTGTGTTTAGGAGACTACTGACCTGAGCCTTTTGGAGGCTGGGCACAAGACTTGTACACTTTCCCCAGATGTTCATAGAATCATACTCGTCAATCTCTTGTTTGCTAGAATTTAACTGGTTGGTGGTTCCCAGAGTCACGTGATTGATGCCAGGGATGACGTAAGTGAAGTTGTCAGTCATGAAAAAATTCTCCACCCATGGTGCTTTTACCTAATAGTATTGAAAGATAATCATTAAAAGCTGACCCACAATAAGCCTGACCTACGATAAGCCTGACCTACAGAAAAGACTGAGCTAGACACAAGAATGACCTACACACTAGAACAGCCTACACTCAAGCAGGCCTACACATAACCTGCTCTACACACAAGGCTGATACCGCCTGCAGGACAGTATGAAAGTGCTACAATACTTCCTTGAGTAATATTAGTGATTAAATTCACTGTTATTTAATAAAAAATGCAAATAATTTTGAATAGCCACTGCAGAAAAGCTTAATTAAAATAATCACCGAGTTTATTTTTTACCATCATTAACATTGATACACCTCAAAAAAGCTATTTATTTTATTTATATTTTGTAGCCTAAGTATCTAAATTCAGAGTTGGATTATATTACTAGCTATAAGTATGCTATATTACATGGCATCTATAATTAATATTATATATATATTTTTTACGACACGGCCTTATAGCTTTTGGTATGAGAATAGATTTCACCGTAGCTATACATAAAAATTTCAGAAATACTATTCACTGTCAACGAGTACCTTAAATGCATAAAGGATTGCAAAAATACTCATTTGATGTCCTTTCTACTGTTCTGTTGTAGATTCGTCCGGCCTGGGTCTCTTCCAAATGGTGGCCCGGCCTTGGCTCCCTTTCGTGGGAGTGTCTCAGACCAATGTCTGCCATGGGAGGAGGTACAAGTACCTCCTCGTCTTCTGGGACCAGATGTCTCCAGGCCTAGCCCCATTACCCGCCCCCACGGGGCTCGGAGGGAGAAGCTAGGCACCTTGGGCTGCCACAAACCCCGCCCACACTGGGCTCGATGGGTGTGGCAGCTGCATGGGAGCAGACGATGTCAGGAGTTGCAAAGGTAGCAAGCACTACAGGATCGTTTTGGAGTCACACCCCAACTTTGGGCATTAAGTCTGAGCGCTGGGGAAGCTCAAGAATGCCTCTTGCTGTGTGTGTTGCTGCTGCTACTACTACTACACTTGTCCGTTGCACTCTGTCATTTTGTGATATAGTGCTTGTGAGGTCACTAAGGGAGACCTAACTCCAGTAAATTGTCACACACCTTGCCTTGGCAAATAGCTGTCAGACATGCCTCTCGGCTTAAGTCAGGTCTTTTGTTCCTGAACTGGCATCAGGTCATAACATGTGGTCTACGCCTTATAGGGAAGGGGGTGCTTTAAGGACCATATAAGCTCAAGGAAACAGCTAGAGGGAGAGAGAGGTTGGTAACAGGATCGGTGAGTGGGAGCCCTGGACAGCCGCGTGTGCAGTGGACCACGGGTTGCGAATCTCGGGTAAGCTGGTTGGTGAATTAAGAGTGAGTACAAGTCCGTGTTACTGATAACATCTACCCTTCCCCCTGGCAATAAGTCTCATAGGATATATTGTATTCTCGCTCTTTATGTTATTAAATAAACTATAACCAAAGTTCCCATTTTTATTTGTACCCTCTTATGCTATTCCCAATTCTGTCCAGCACTGGGATAATACAAGAGACGTGCTTATTTGCTGGGATACCTCAGGCAGTAGGAAATTTTACATTAAACCACATCCTACTTAATCAGTAGCCTCATAAATTTGTAACTCCTTTCAGATAATGCATCCCCCCGGTTATATGTAACTCACTGATATACTTAGGCATGGAATTCATAAACCTGAAACCACTGTGATATACCTGATATATCTGTCCTCTTACAGGCATTACATTGGCGTCCTGACAGAGGTATCTCGCGCCGAGGCCTGAGCAGTTGCAGACAACATCGAACTGGTCAACTAACTCTTCGAAGCTCTCGAGACGATGATCCAACACACGACCTCCTCTGCGCTTGAACCTGCCAGAAAGACGAACGTAAAATTAGATTTGGTCACGAGAGGTGCTCCATCCTTAGTCTGCTAACTACAGCCCAGTTTCTTAAGCAGTCATGTTGGTGATAGAAACAAAAACCCTCGGTCTACAATACAAACCACCTTTAAAAATATATTTCATTTAAATAACTCCCTTATTCACAGCCTCAGGAAAGAGCAATAAAGTGTGGCTGCAACTGGTAGTGCAGTGTCCTGTGAGGCAGTGTTATTTGTGACAGGCACTGCTAAGTTCAAGGCCGGTCAAGTGTTATACTGTGATTCTCATTTTTAATGTATGAGATAGTGGCCAGTGCTCAAGGTATGCGTGCTTCGTCCCGTGTTGTGCTCAATATAGTCAACAGTGACTGTCTGTTGTATATAATATCTCAATGGTCATGCCATCTTAGTAAATCAAGCTGTCATTCCTACTTTCAGTGTTGGTGAAGTTTATCATCTCGCTTGGGAATGAACCAAGAGGGAAGGTGATTTTTAACTTGTAAGTAGAAATGAGAAAATTTTCTCTTAATGCTTATCTTAGTCATATGATGACCCCTACTCTATGTTTATAACTTATCAAAGTTATTAGCTTGTAAAAATAAACTGTGCGGAAACTAATTGTAGCTTGGCCAGAAGCTAAAGCAGTAATAATAATAATAATAATAATAATAATAATAATAATAATAATAAAATAATAATAATAATAATAATAATATTATTATTATTATTATTATTATTATTATTATTATTATTATAGTAAAACACTGTTTATGAAGAGTATTAGTCATTGAGTTTACTGACTTTTCCATAAGGTAGGGCATGTTTAAGCGGTTCTCAATGAGGAGAGTGGATACGAAGGATCCATACTGCCAGCCTCCCGGGATGGCCTTAATCTCGGCAGGTGTCAAAATGCGATGCTCGGTCAATACAGACAAGTAGGGATCCTGAAAGGAAAGTCAGAAATATTTTTTTTCTTTTACACAGGTCATTTACAGAAATAATTATAAAATTTAAAGACAAATTATTAAAAAGGACGGTAACTGTAATGCATTTTAACTCGTCAAGTTTTTACCTAAATAATGTTTTAGAGAGATATTTTAAAAAACAAGGTGTATGTATCTATTTTCAGATCTCTAAAATTAGGTGAGTATAAACAGCCTTTTGCAGACTAAGGATCGAGCCTCCATCACTCCTGGCGAGCAGTGACCCACACTGGTTTAATGTTTCATGAAATACAATCTGCACTCATCTAAAATGAACGCTGTTTATAAATACAATAACCGTCCACAATTTGTACAAATGCGTTACAATGAAACTGATCTGTTTTTTTTTAATGCCTCCTTAAAACACACTCTGTTGATCATTTATTTTCACTATTCCTTGATAATGTGACAAATCACGAAAGCGCTTGGAAGTTCACTATTCTTTCACAGTGGTTGTTCTGTACAGTTGATAACGGTAATCATCTCACTCAAACATAGCATTATCAGAACTCTCGTACGCTATGCATTAAAAGGTATGCAGAGCAAGCTAGAAGGGAATGGCTTCTGCGTAGTTAAGATCGCCTGTTTGCGATTATATTGCACCAAGAGGAATACATAGGCACAAATACATTTAGTTTTTAAGGGGCATGCATCCCAAACGCAGGTGCCCCAGTGGTTACTTGTCTCCAGCAGGGTATATAGTAACAAATCTAGTCAACAGACATTTTTTTCTGACGAAGAGACACCACCATAAATAAGGATCGTAAGTCATACGCACCTGGACGTACTCCGGGTCTGTGGCAGAGAGGATGTAGCCAGAGAGACGCTTCACTCCAGCGGCTGACGCCTCGGGAGACTTAGCAATTTCAGAGTAATACTTGAAGCTTTTAATCAGCCACTCCCTGGAGATAAACCAAATAAATATTCTAACTAATAGCTGTCTTTTTTTAATTAGTATTACTAAAATTGGTTGCGCCGTGTTGTGCTACTGCTACCATTATCTCTGACATTTAAAAAAAAAACATAGACAACGCTCAAATATACTTAATACACAATCATTGTATTTTTTTAATCACACTCCATCATACATCAATCATTGCCTAAACATTCGTAAGTTGTAAGATATTTAATTTTTTTTTTTCAAACCCTTAATTTTTTTTACCATACTTAGAAATGCTAGAAAACCATAAATAAGTAAAAAAAATAAAGATGTAAGGCAGGACACAGGACAAGTGTTTTTTTTATAATAATAATAATAATAATAATAATAATAATAATAATAATAATAATATTTATTTCTACGAGTACATTATACAAGGAATATACAGGCCTAGCTGACATCAGTGACATATATAAAACCCCTGGTTATGCAGAGCATTTCGGGCAAATTAGATCAATTTTGTCCCCAGGATGCGACCCATACCAGTTGGCTAACACCCGGGTACCTACTTACTGCTAGGTGAACAGAGACAGCAGGTGTCCTAAGGAAACATGACCCAATGTTTCTGTGGAATTTTTAATTTTATAATTTTTCATAAATTTAGCATGTGTAAATATGAATAGTATAATAACTATGTATTAAAAAGTGACGCTGATTTGGCCCTTTGAGAAATTTAGTGTGAAGAAGGGTGTCTAGCGGCCGGGGAGTGAGACAGGGGAATGGGACGCCATACTGAATTAATGTGTGAGCACTGGTTATGGTGAAATCGTCTAGTAATCCGGCGTCATCGAGGCCATAATTGAATGGATTGACTTCAAACTATAATTAACAACTCGCGCTAAACTTCATCAACCCGAAATGTGAAAAAAAAAATCCTTGCTACGAGATTGAAGCTCCAATCCCGATATTAGCAGACGGAGTTTCGAGCCTCCAGCACTCCTTGCACTGACCCACACATGTTTAACACTTCATGACTTACAATACAATCCCCGCAAGAGGTTGCGTCGGCTGATTTCATTACCTCCCTGTCAGAGTTTTTAATGCTACTGGAATGTCCCCTGTTGAAGAATAGGGACAGAGAATTAGCCCTTTCATTTAGATTTATCACTGGCCAGTAGGATTCTATTTGTTAGGTAGGCATTGTGGGGTGATCCAACTACAGTATAAATGGTAAGTGGTAATATAAATTTCATAATTATCGAACTTTTGGTACATATGTGCCTAGTGTCAATTAGAAAATTGTTACCCTGTCTGTGTGTGTTATCATTCCCATTAATCCTTTCTGAAGATCGTTTTCCTTTAATTTTCATGCAGTCCACTGGTACTATTTTATAATTTACCATTATTGGTATTAATGTTTAATATTGTAATTATTAATTTAGTATCAGGTCAAGCTTTTTTGTGAGAGTGGTGAAGGAGTGGGCATCGAAGGAGTGACAGTTCTGTGATCTACTGTGACTAAGTCCCACTTACCTCACCCAAATTATTTACATGTAATAATCACCTCATGCAGGTAATTTCTCACAGTTTCTGCCCATACACCAAATTTCCAAAACCAAATTTCCGTAAACTCAGCATTGTAATCCTTATAGAGAATAAACTTTGAATACCGGGATCACACCATGGACCTTAATGTGTGAGCCGAGTGCGCTACTGATCAAGATAAGGGACACTGTCCTAATCATATGATAACCCATTGGTTGGCCACTACTTGCGTACTTCACCTATAAAAAAGTGATCGATTATTTTCAAAATAGAATAAGCATATTTATTTTACTATAACTCCACTAAAATCTATACGAACAATCACCGGGTAATAGTGAGAAAAGTGAAGCTGAGGGTGGATAGTATGATGGATGAGACAAGTGATGGGGGCTTGTTGAGGTGTTGTGATAACTGCTGTGGGTATTATAACTGAAATTGCAAATTGTTAGGGGGGACTTGTACAACGTGGTGCAGTAGTGTGTGACTTGTATATTTTTGTTGTATTGGGAAAACGAGAAAAAATTGTGGGTGGTGTGGGTTATTATTGAGGCAAGTGGAAGTGCGGGTGGATAATGTGAAGTGTTATGTGTTGTGGGTTGTTGTGAGTTATGAGTGAAATATCTTTTTGTTATATTACGAAAACGAGAAGAAATCGTGGGTGTTGTGGGTTATGAGTGAAACTTTTGAGTTATAGGCAGGGGAGACAGGTTAATGTATAGGGGAGATTCCGGGGAAGGAGTGAGAGTGTGAGTGTTCCCCCCCCCCCTATGAAGTATGTAATCTTAATTCGTGATATGTAAAAATTGTATAACAAATAAATGATGAAACAAAATGAATTTATGTAATGATTCACCTTTGTACACTTACCAGTTGTGATATCATTGACTGTATATTTTTACCGTATCACTTGAATGATTTCTCGAGAGAAATGTTTACCCTGTTAACACGTATTGTGCAACCCTGGTACAGTACTTAAGAATATTTAGCATAAAATCTCAACTAATTTTATCCTAATATTTTCCTCGTTTAGTAATGCACGACTACTAGATAATTGTAACTGGATTTATAGACAATCTGATATGTAATGAATATGTTGTTATTACTGTTGTTATTATTGCATTTGATGTTTATATTGCTAATGAAATTCAGAATTTTTTAATAGGTAGTTTGCAATACTTTAGTGATACGCCTCAGTCCCTTATATGACTCACTACTGACCGGGTCGTCAGACGTGACTCTGACCTGCACAAAGACCAGACTCACTACTGAACGGGTCGTCAGACGTGACTCTGACCCACACAAGCTGAATTTTCCCTTTTCTTCCTCCATTTACTACTCTTTGGCACCAACCTTATATTCGTAGTTATTTACTTAAATTTTGCCATTAAATCACCAATGATTATTAATCCATAGACATAAATGTTCGAAAAAACATAGTAATAATATATTTCTATAGAGCATTAAATCGGTATGGATCATTTAAAGGGAAGGAATGGGGATGACTCGATCCTCCATCCTTGTCGCAGCCAAGGTCAGGTACCTAGTACACTTGGTGAGGAAAAGGTGTCACCTTGCAGCGTGTGGCGTGGGTCCCCTCAGGGACAAGCTGGGTATGAACACACCAGCAGCTCCATCACTGGTGGTGTCTGTAAGAAACTTGTCGGCCACCACGGTTACTCTGACCGCCTCTTGCCCCGTCAACGCCTCTTGCAGGAGCGTGGCCGTTGTCAGACCCACCACGCCGCCGCCAACAACGCCTACCTCCAACACCATCTCAACTGAAAGGTGAGATATCCTGGGAAAGATAACTGGTAAGAAGAAAGAATTATTGGCCGAAAGTTTTTATGATGAAGCAAATTAAATGCCAGAATGAACAATTATTTATGAATATATATATATATTAATGCATCCATGAAAATGTTTATTTGTATATATATATATATAAAATATATTATTATATAATATATATATATATATATATATATATATATATATATATATATATATATATATATATATATATATCGTGTGTACTCACCTAGTTGAGGTTGCAGGGGTCGATTCCGAGCTCCTGGCCCCGCCTCTTCAGTGTGTGTACTCACCTATTTACTCACCTATTTGTGGTTGCAGGGGTCGAGTCATAGCTCCTGGCCCCGCCTCTTCACTGATTGCTACTAGGTCCTCTCTCTCCCTGCTCCATGAGCTTTATCATACCTCGCCTTAAAACTATGTATGGTTCCCGCCTCCACTACTTCACTTTCTAGGCTATTCCACGGCTTGGCTACTCTATGACTGAAGAAATACTTCCTAACATCCCTTTGATTCATCTGAGTCTTCAACTTCCAATTGTGACCTCTTGTGTCTGTGTCCCATCTCTGGAACATCCTGTCTTTGTCCACCTTGTCTATTCCGCGCAGTATTTTGTATGTCGTTATCATGTCTCCCCTGACCCTCCTGGCCTCCAGTGTCGTCAGGCCAATTTCCCTCAACCTTTCTTCGTAGGACAATCCCCGTAGCTCTGGGACTAGTCTTGTTGGCAAACCTTTGCACTTTCTCTAATTTCTTGACGTGCTTGACTAGGTGTGGATTCCAAACTGGTGCTGCATACTCCAGTATGGGCCTGACGTAAATGGTATACAGAGTCTTGACGACTCCTTACTGAGGTATTGGAACGCTATCCGTAGGTTTGCCAGGCGCCCGTATGCTGCAGCAGTTATCTGATTGATGTGCGCCTCAGGAGATATGCTCGGTGTTATACTCACCCCCAGATCTTTTTCCTTGAGTGAGGTTTGCAGACTTTGGCCATCTAAACTATATTGTGTCTGCGGTCTTCTTTGCCCTTCCCCAATCTTCATGACTTTGCATTTGGCGGGGTTAAACTCAAGGAGCCAGTTGCTGGACCAGGCTTGTAGACTGTCCAGGTCTCTTTGTAGTCCTGCCTGATCCTCATCCGATTTGATTCTTCTCATTAACTTCACATCGTCCGCAAACAAGGACACTTTGAGTCTATCCCTCCGTTTATGTCATTCACATATACCAAGAACAGCACAGGTCCAAGGACTGACCCTGTGGAACCCCGCTTTTTCACAGACGCCCACTTTGACACCTCGTCACGTACCATGACTCGTTGTTGCCTCCCTGTAAGGTATTCTCTTATCCAATGCAGTGCCTTTCCTGTTATGTGTGCCTGATCCTCTAGCTTTTGCAGTAACCTCTTGTGAGGAACTGTGTCGAAGGCCTTCTTGCAGTCCAAAAAAATGCAGTCGATCCACCCCTCTCTCTCTTGTCTTACTTCTGTCACCTTGTCATAAAACTCTAATAGGTTTGTGATACAGGATTTTCCCTCCCTGAAACCATGCTGGTTGTCAATTATACACTTGTTTCTTTCCAGGTGCTCCAAACCACTCTCCTCCTGATGATCTTCTCCATGACCTTGCATACTATACACGTTAGTGATACAGGTCTGTAGTTTAGTGCCTCATGTCTGTCTCCCTTTTTAAAAATTGGGACTACATTTGCCATCTTCCATACCTCGGGGAGTTGCCCAGTTTCAAATGATGTGTTTTAAGATCTTTGTTAATGGTAAAACACAATGTCTCTGCTCCCTCTTTAAGGACCCACGGAGAGATGTTGTCTGTTCCCACCGCCTTTGAGGTGTCAAGTTCGCATAGCAGCTTCTTCACCTCCTCCTTGGTTATATGTACCTCATCCAGCACTTGCTGGTGCACCCCCCTGCTCTGATTTCCTGGAGTCCTACTGGTTTCCACTGTAAGTACTTCTTCAAATCTTGTGTTGAGCTCCTGACAAACCTCCCGGTCGTTTCTTGTGAATTCCCCATCACCCTTCCTCAGTCTGATCACCTGGTCCTTGACTGTTGTTTTCCTCCTGATGTGGCTGTACAACAGCTTCGGGTCAGTCTTGACTTTCGTTGCTATGTCATTTTCGTATTGCCGCTGAGCCTCCCTTCTTATCTGTGCATATTCGTTTCTGGCTCTTCGGCTAATCTCTTTATTTTCCTGAGTTCTCTGTCTTCTGTACCTTTTCCATTCTCTAGTACACCTAGTTTTTGCCTCCCTACACCTTTGGGTGAACCAAGGACTCGTTCTGTTCTTCCCATTATTTCTGTTTCCCTTGGGAACAAACCTCTCCTCTGCCTCCTTGCATTTTGTTGCCACATAGTCCATCATTTCTTGTACTGGTTTTCCTGTCAGTTCCCTCTCCCACTGAATGTCTTGAAGGAAGTTCCTCAAGCCTGAGTAGTTCCCCCTTTTGTAGTTTGGTTTTTCCCACCCTATTCCTGCTGCTCTCTCCACTTGAAGCTCAACTATGTAGCCGAAGCACAACCACATGATCACTAGCTCCCAGGGGCCTTTCATACATGATATCCTCGATGTCAGAACTACTCAAGGTGAATACAAGGTCCAGTCTTGCTGGTTCATCCTCTCCTCTCTCTCTGGGAGTGTCTCTAACATGTTGATGCATGAGGTTTTCCAGTACCACATCCATCATCTTGGCTCTCCATGTTTCGGGACCCCCATGGGGCTCCAGGTTTTCCCAGTCAATCTCCTTGTGATTGAAATCACCCATAACTAGTAACTTTGCTCCCCCCATGTGTGCTCTCCTGGCCACCTCGGCTAGTGTGTCGACCATTGCTCTGTTGCTCTCATCGTATTCTTCTCTTGGCCTCCTGCAGTTCTGTGGTGGGTTGTACATTACTGCAATTATCACCTTATGTCCCTCAGACTAGATTGTTCCTACTAAGTAGTCCCTTTCGCCCGTGCCATCCATTCCTTCCATTTTCTCAAACCCCCACTGGTTTTTAATGAGCAGTGCAACTCCTCCTCCCCCTCTCCTCCCTCTGTCTTTCCTGAGGATTTGATATCCGGTTGGAAAGATTGAATCTGTTATTATTCTGGTGAGTTTTGTTTCTGTGAGTGCTATTATGACTGGGGATGTCTCCTTGATTCTTTCGTGCCACTCCTCATACTTATTTGTTATTCCATCTGCATTTGTATACCACACCTTCAACTTCTTTTCTAAGATTGTGGTCTGGGAGGTGTATTGGGGTTGGGGAAGTGGGAGACCTGATAAGGAACTATGTGTGTGTGTGTGTGTGTGTGTGTGTGTGTGTGTGTGTGTGTGTGTGTAGGACTCTTGTAGGAAGTACAGCATAAGGCCAGAGAGGTGGCAGGAGGAGGCGGGATCACAGTGGGACCTGCCACTGGTGTAAGTAGGTCGTCGTCCAAAGATCGGACAAGCGTTGAAGAAGTCTTGTACCAAGATCCCATGATGTTGCAGTGTCTGACAGATGTGATGAATGATTTTCAAAACCGACAAGTTGAAGAACTGAGACACTTATGCAACATATGGGAATCTTTATTGAAGAAACGTTTCGCCACACAGTGGCTTCATCAGTCCAATACAAAGTAGAAATGGGTAAGGAGAGGAGGAGATTGAGGTAATGATTCCCATATGTTGCATATGTGTCTCAATTCTTCAACTTGTCGGTTTTCAAAACCATTCATCACATCTGTCAGACACTGCAACATCCTTGGATCTTGGTACAAAGACTTCTTCAACGCTTGTCCGATCTTTTGACGACGACCTACTTACACTAGTGGAAGGTCCCACTGAGATCCCGCCTCCTCCTGCTTCGACTCACCTGACTGCAGTATATAAGCCACCTCTCTGGCCCTATGCTGTACTTCCCACGAGAGTGATGGATTGAACACATCGATTCCAGGCTGAGGGACTGATTACCTCAATCTTCTCTCCTTACCCATTTCTACTTTGTATTGGACTGATGAAGCCACTGTGTGGCGAAACGTTTCTTCAATAAACATTCCCATATGTTGCATGAGTGTCTCAATTCTTCATCATGAACCAACGAGACTGGACCTAGTATTCACCTTGAGTAGTGCAGATATTGAGAACATCACATATGAAAGACCCGTGGGAGCCAGTGATCATGTGGTTTTAGGCTTCGAATACATAGTAGAGTTACAAGTGGAGGGGGAAGCAGAAAGGGCCAGACGAATGAAGCCAGACTACAAGAAAGGGGACTAGCAAGCATAAAGAACTTCCTGAACGGAGTTCAGTGGGACAGAGAACTGACAGGGAAGTCAGTAGATGAGATGATGGAATATGTGACAAAAGTATGCAAGGAAACTGAGGAAAGATTTGTACCCAAGGGTAACAGGAATAATGAAAAAGCCAGGATGAGCCCTTGGTTCACCCAAAGGTGCAGGGAGGCAAAAAACAATTGTGTCAGGGAATGGAAGAAGTATAGAAGGCAAAGGACCCAGGAGAATAAGGAGACCAGTCGTAGAGCCAGAAATGAATATGCACAGGTAAGACGGGAGGCCCAAAGGCAATATTAGAAAGACATAACAGCGAAAGCCAAATCTGACCCAAAGCTGTTGTACAGCCAAATCATGAGGAAAACAACAGTCAAGGACCAGGTAAACAGGCTGAGGAAGGAAGGAGGGGAGGTCACAAAAAACGACCACGAAGTATGTGAGGAGCTCAACATGAGATTCAGTGTTCACAGAGGAGAAAGAAGGGCCTCCAGAAAGGCAGAGAGGTGGGGTACACCATCAAGTGTTGGACACAATACATACAACCGAGGAAGAAGTGAAGAGGCTGTTAGGCAAGCTAGATACCTCAAAAGCGATAGCGCTGGATAACATCTCTCCATGGGTCCTGAGAGAGAGTGCAGAAGTGCTTTGTGTACCACTAACAACAATATTCAACACATCTATCGAAACAGGATGACTACCGGAAGTATGGAAGACAGCAAATGTAGTCCCATTTTTTAAAAAAA